TTCCAGGCTCTGAGGAAGGCGAAATCCGCCGAAACGTCAGCTCATTTGTGAATAAAGAATAATAACACCTCGCGTTTGCTCAACAAAAATACGAAGAATTATTTGTGGAGTTACTTTTGTAGTAGGAAGGCTACTATTCGAGGAAAAGAAAATTCATGAGGCTTTCTTAAGGCAAGTAAAAAGGATAGAAGGTTCGAACTTGATAATCCCTGGCCTTTGCGCCAAGCATTGGACTTCATCAAGTATCGCAGAGGTGATTACGGTGGCCCAACTAATGTGTCAAGTCAGTTTTTTTAGCCTCCCAAACAATTGTGGTATCGATTTGTCATCCTCGGAGTGACAGAAAGCTTGGTGAGCGGACGATCGGGATCGGGCTCAACTTCATACACTTGAAAATGGCCTTCAACTCGGACGAGATAGAAACGGTCATGGAAGCTCAGAACAACCAGGGAATGCCTGCTCAGTACATAATGTTTCTTCATGAGCTGCGCAACAATATGGTAACCAATACAATCATTGTATAACGACATTAATAACGATGTGAGGATAGGGGTTCGACAAGGTGATGCGGTCACTCCAGAAGTAATCTTGGAGGTCATGGGAAAATTGGAATGGGATGAAGAGATCGTGACAACAGATGGTCGGGTATTATACCAATTTTCCTTTACTGATGACATCACTCCTGTAACATCAAACATTAGCCAAGCGGAACGAATACTTTCCGACTTTGATAACTCACGTGAAAGGATTGGTGTTCGACTAAATCTCGCAAAAACGATGGTCATGAAAAGCACATTTGATTCCTGTGTCCCACTTGAGCTCAATGGAATGAGTGTTTCTAGACGCTCCAGTTATGCTTGTCTGTTGCTGCGTAAACAGGATGAAAGACCACTCAGAGTTATTGAATGTGCAATCGAAAAGACGATGCTAGGAGTATCCCGTGTCATACAAGTGAGGGAGGTGATCCGTGGTTCCCCACCTGTGCAGCGATCAAAAGCAAAAGGCTTTTCTGTACACTAAATTGTTGGAGATAAAGGAGGGGGACGCGTAATGCGTATGAACGACAACCAGTGAACCGATGGACAAGAGCCGTTAGCGAATGGTTTCTGATGGTGGTCTTCTTCGAACTTGGTGACGTCTGCGAGAGCCATTTCAAATTCCTGAAAGCTTTTCCATCTGCGAGGCCCATCATTTGGGTGGTCTTTCACGAGAACACTTGCATCCTCTTGGAGCCCCTCCAATGCTCTCTTCGTCCAACCGTCGGCTGTTTTTGTTATTATGTGATCAGCCCATCTATGCTTCACCGCCGACGAAAATTCTTCCGGATCACGAAGATTGCATAGGTTTCCAAGGTTTGAGCTTCATATTTCGGCTAGACATTGTGTATGTCGGTTATGTTTCAGAAGACATTGTTCAAGCGCTTTGTGAGTGATATTTGGTATTCCTTACGTGGGTAAAATATCAGTTCACGTTTCTGCTGCATAGTGGAGCGCCAAGAGGACTGTTGAGCTGAAAAGGTGAGCGCGGACTTCTGGGTACGTTATTTGGTCGGTGGTTCCTTTTAGTTGGCCGAATGCGCCTCATGCTGCTCACCTTCTTCTCACTAATTTCTTCTTCATGTTACTCACTATGTTGATTGGACGTTCAAGGTACACATATGAAGTGTTGAGGTGTTTTCCGTGTTTACCAGAACCATGCAGTTCGGCCTGTTTGGCTTCGCACCATCGGTTCTTCATTAGTCGTGTCCCCGTCCAATTTAGGCGCAGTCCAATCTTTTTTACTTCTTTGTTGGGTCCAATGATCGTCGTCTCTACTTCACTGGCACTCTTCGAAATGTGATAGTGTCATCCGCGAAAAGAGGATTTGATAGGAATTTTCCATCAGTGTGTATGCCCTTCTCGTCCTAATCCAGTGACTTCACTATCTTCTGTAGTGCGGCAGCAAACAGCTTTGGCGATATGGTGTCGCCTTGTCGAACCCTTTTCTCCATGGATATAACGGGAATTCGGTGGAAAAGCTCTGTATTTTTGCTGCACTTCCAGAAACAATCACCTAGTGTTCGTATTCATGAGGACTCCACTCCTTCGTCGACGAGGGCTAATAAGATTGCATTCGTTTCAATGCTGTCAATCGCTTTTCCGTAGCCGGTAAAGGTTTGGACAATAAGCAGGTAGTAGTTCCTGCAGACTTCTATGATCCATGACACAGTTTGGATGTGGGCTATGCGGCAAAATCTTTACTGAGGTTCTGTTTTCTCGAATGGTTGCGCATCATCCAAGGACTTCCAAGTGAGCAAAAGGATAACCCTCATGGACACCTTGAAGAGTGCATTCAGCAAGTCTATTGGACTACGGTTACGAGGATCCCTTCGGTCACCACTCTTCGGTAGGATGACCGTGCGCGACGTCCCCATTGATTTGGGACTTTCTCGTTCTTAAGTTAAGACGCCATGTAGGTTACGAGAAGTAAATGAAATATGTGGTCTGCAGCTCTGAGGAAATCGGCTGTGATATCGAGTCCTAGAGTTGTGCCTCTCTTCATGCTTTTTATGGCAACTCGAACTTTGGAGGGTAGAATACCGAGCGATTCCTCACCAGTGGTATTTTCGGGGTCCAAGACAGGGATTGTGGATCGGAAAATGTTTGTGTAGAAACTTTCCGTTGTCATTTCCATACCTTGGCGAGACTTAGTGATAGTCCCATCTTCGATCATTAGAATGGATAGCGGAACGTTATACTTGCAAAGATCCCGACAGTACTTCAGGTAAGATCGTTTGTTAACTGCTTCCAACAACTTTTTCTGACTATCCCGATGTAAATCCTCCTGCCAAGGTGTCTTACAGCTGGTATTTATTGTCAGTAGTGTTAGGTATGTTGTAGTGGGATCCAACTTCAGTTTCCTTTTCTTTTCGACCATCTCAGCGGTATTGGAAATGACGCCTGAACTTCTTGTTTTAGGAACTGAAACGCATGCGGCACAAGTTTTAAGTTCTTCGACATACAGCGTGTAGTACTCAGTCGGGTTCTCCATTATTTCCTAGTCATATAAGGAGAGGACCTTATTGAGAATATCCTTGTCATACACGACTTGTTCTGTTTTTCTTGGAAGATGGCACAAGAGTTCTTTTCCACCTTGTGGCTAAACCGAATCTTTGCACGATGAAGGCGGTGATCAGATCTGGTAAAACCGAGGTATCAAAGGGGCACTGTTCTGTGTTCGTGAGAATGTAACTCCTCATGAGTAGCGCCGTTAGGAGAACCGCATGTCCATCGGAGAACTTCACTGTTCTAGAAAGATGAATTCTCATGGAAAAGGTGTGCCGCGGCCAAGAGTCTAACAAGACGGTTTCTATCCGTATTCATCTTCGTTGGTCGTTCCTAATCTGGCATTGAAATGTCTAACAACGAATTTATAGAAAGACTTTCCATTGCGGATTATTTCCTCTTATTCGTTCTAGAACGAGTCCAGTTCGCCTTCGTCAGCTATATAAAATGGTGAGCAACGATTGGTGGTAGTTTCTTGACGCGAAAGTTGGAGACGAAGAATGGCCGAGCGCAGTGATGAGATATCGTATGGGGCGATACGAGATAGAATTTCTCTAATTCTGTTTACCAAAACTAAAATTGAAATTTGCTTGGAAATCTATGTTTTTAAATAGACTTAAAGTAAAAAACAACACACTAGAAAAGTTATTGTATTCCCTTAGAGCGATGAAACAAAACTCCTAAAACTCTGCCATTTCTCAACTCCTCAAGTCCTCTAGCTGTTGAAACATTATCGCCTATTGTCGAAATATCAGCAACGTTCATTACGTGCCGCGTTTGAATGGCCCCCGAGATGTCCAGGTCCGCAGACGATGTGCGATCAGACATGATGTTGTCCCACCCGGCAGAAAAGAAAATTAATGTAAAAGTTATACCTTCGTGTCTTTTCAAAAAACTGAGTATTAGGTGTTAGAAGCATTATGTGCAGCATTCGACAATTAGTGTATTTTCACCACTTTCTTGAATAATGAGTCGTTCGTAAGCACAAAATGATGAAGCATGGAACCACTTCCAGCCACTAGCTGTGTTTTTGACTCGTAGAACTTTTAGTAGAGCTATTTCAGGATATTAGGAAGAGTGAACTCGACCATATTTCATGATAAAGATTTAAATGTTCAAGCAGCAGTAGAACTTATGCACAAAAAGTCCGAGAACTTCTGTGAACGGTGGATCCGAGGATGCGAACCGATTGCAGAAAATACTGAGATATTTACAATCTGTGATGCGATATTAGGTTATACAAACAACAAATCGCGGGCGGATGTGGCGCAGTGGTCGGAGGCACCTAGCAACACACACACGTGGAATCGGTCTCTGCGCCAATGGCTCACCAAGCCTTCCACCACTCCGGTGTCAACGAATTGGTACCAGAGCTGCCTGGTAGGATACGAGCACTGACTCGATATATCGGCAGGTCACGGCGAGTCATTGCAAAAGCTAGATATGCATTCACTCACCTCCAACGATTCTTAATGAAGTCGAACGCATGACGCATCCCTTAGGGGTTGATCAACGCCCAGAGCTTTATCCTTTATCTTTTTATAAATAACAAATCAAAGCCTAACGTTTTCGTTGAAAACTCAAAAAACCGACTTTCTATAAACTTCGGCATAGATAGTTGATATATTTATCTATATGATCCTATAAACTGATCTTTAGCTGATGCGAGGTTGGCATAGGTCTTCGTTGACGTTGTCGTTGTTGTCGTTGGTGTTGTTAATCGATGGCTGACGTTTCGGCGATTTCGCCTTCCTCATAGCCTGGGCGTATTTTATACAAGAATGCTTTAATTATACGGTGAAAAGGCTAAAGTATTAATGAAGATCAAGCTCTTAAACAGACGCCATATTGATCACAAAGGTTACTCACCTTGATGTTACGAGTGGGACTGGCTCACGCGTTGTTCATGTGGGGTCGCCAGCAAGACACACTCCAGGGTTAAAATATCATTTTGAAATAGGGCACCAGGTTACGTGTGATAGTGAGGCCTTCGTCTTTCCGGTTCATCTTTAGATTTCTGGAATTTATCCAAAACTTTTCGATTTCTGCGCTAGGATCCGCACAGTCACTTCAAAATCATCGCCGTTGTGCTTTTGTGCCCTATGCGTACCTAGAGCAGTGTTTTGACGAATTTAAGCTTTCCCATCTAGATGTTCTTTTATGCGGACATAAAGTGGTCTACCGGTTTCCCCAGTAGATTCCTCACCGCATGCGTTACATGAGATCAAATATATTGTACCTGAACTCATGCAATCCACGTCTTTCCCGTTAGAACAGATAATACAGTTTTCTGAGCTGAACAAGCGATCGTAGAGACAGACTGTTGCGAACTAACTGACGGCGTAGGCACGCGCTATCACACTCGAACAAGACCAACACCACGGACTATGATTGCGAGAGAAAAGAACAAATGGCATATGTGCTGGAGTCCGCGAAACTCATGAAGACGGACTGTCCAAGTATCCAAGTAAGTAAGTTCACGTGAGGCTGATAAACGTTGAAGGGTAAAGCGCTAGGCGTTGATCAATTCCTGGGGAATGTGCCATCCGTTCGACTTTGTTAAGCATCACTAGAAGTGATTGAATGCATATATTGCCCATACGATAACTTATGGTGACCTACTGATGCATCATTTCAATACTATTATCCTCCCAAACAAGTCTGGTTCCGATTTGCCATCTCTGTAGGGTTGGAAGGCTTGATGAACCAGAGGCGCGGAATCGAACCATAGAGCTTATACGTAATATAGGGCACATCTAAGCTTTGTGTTATAAATGCGCTTTTTTGGGATTGGTATCAAACTTTATTTAGTTAATACTTCGGTGACTTTACCTTCTTCAGAGTATCGACTTGCCATATGGTGGTTCGTAATCGCATAGTCCAAGGTGCCGAATTGTTAGCTGAATGAGGTATAATACCAATTTCGTTTTAGCTTATGAATGGAAAATTAAACATTAATTATTTATGCATATACCA